TGTCTTTAACCAGAAACACACACACAGCAAGGTTATGTACTGACTGGTCGATGAAGAGGTGGTGACCAGTGGCTCATAGGAACCTAACCCCATCTTTCCCCTAGGAGCAGTGGTTCAGTATTTGCTAATCCAGTGTTCCGGTCGACTTTATAGAACATAAGTACCACGAATAAGGACACTTGACTATATTAGCCTTATTTTACAGATGAAAAAATAAAGCTGAGACAGATGTGAAAAGGTAGCTCTCAGCACACTCTAGCACATCATTCTGTTTTATTTTCTCCAGAACACTTAAGACTGAGAATTGTGTTTACTTCAGTCTCAGCCACTGCTATTGTAAGTTTGTCCATCTTGTTCTCTCGGGGTTATTTCCCCAAGCCAAGAACCATTCCAGGCACATACCCAACCTAATGAATAAAGAAATCTCCTATATGCAATTGTGTAAATATCAGGGGTGATTGACACTTTAAAGAGAAGGGCAGTTACTTTCATTATGTTAAATTCAAAACATTTAGTAAGACAAATGCAGGCTTAGGATGAAGTGGAGAGAGAAGAAAGAAAACCAAAAAGAACCCCAGAGCTGCCTGAGGTGGCACTGTTTCTGAAACCCAGAGAGCAGGTCAGATTGTCTGGGATGCAAACACCATGGCTCAACCAAATGCTGGCAGCTCTACCGAGTAAGGGAAAGAGAGATACACTCTGAAATAGTATTTCTGCTTGGTGTTACAGGTGTCCTTGATGGAGAAGCCAGCAGGCAGAGGGAACAGGCAAGAGCAGGGATGGTGCCTCCGGGAGCCCAAGCTCAGGTCAAACCACATGTGCGAGAGACACTGAGGAGAGCAAAAACCCGGAGCAGGCAGGTAGGTATTGGAACTTGGCCACAAGGCGGTGCCTACAGAGGGGGAGAAATGCAGAGGAGACTGCGGGTCTGAGGAGCCGATTCCTTCAGAGGCCTCAGCATTCCCAGCCCAGGCGGAACTGATGGGCCACGGATGCCAGCAGCACTTCCAGCGTCAGAGGGAGAGCTGAGAAAGAGGGCTCTAGGATTTTCTTTTTATAAACACAGAGAGGAAAGTGAGATAAGACCCTCTTACATCAACTCCTACAGTAACGGACAAATAACACAAGACAAAGAGGCGGGATTCCAGAATTAATGTTCACTGCTGCTCTGAGCAAAAATTGAACAGTAAACAATAAGGATTTCAAAATTAAAACAAAAGAGCCACATCAGTGTTCTAATTTAACCTTCAAAAATAAAGAAGATCTAAAGCACCATGAACTGAGAATTCCATTCCACCTCAACACCCTGTACTCCTGAGTTGTGAGAGCAGACTACAACGCAACTCATGTTCCAAAATGCAACAAGCAGCTTCGACAGGACATGCTGAAAGAAGCAGCACGGCTCCTCGGCTCCTCGTTTACTGATTCATATTTTGGTAGCAAGGTTACAATTAGCTCACCAGTGGAGAATAAACCTATTTATAACACAGCAGTCCACCTGAAAGACACAATCATCTAAAAAGGTTTTTAGAGAAAAATGAAGTGCAGCTTCTTCCTATGCTGATTGCAGCTTCCCAAGGTCCTTTCGGATGAAGTCCTCAGTCTAACCTTCCTGTGTTCACAGGCACCATTCCAGCCACCTCTCAGCCTCCATGTTCTTATGTAACATTTACATAGTGCCATAAACATACCCAGAGTTGCGTAAGAATTAAAACGTTGCCAAACCAATAAAGCCTAAAGCAGGTCACTCCCTCCAGACTGTCTTTGATTAGCACAGGTACGCTGCCCGGTCTACGATGTAAGAGCCTGTCAAAAGACAGAAATTAACTTGAGGAAATCTGAAACATCTACAAAAAAAAAAAAAATGCACAAATCAGAAGAAATTAACCACACTGTGGCCTGTGGTGCTTCTATCAATCCCAAGAGTATGTTATTCTGTTCCATAAGATAAAAAGTAACCCAACATTGCTTGTTCCCTGAAGTCAGAAACTGTGTCTAAAAATACCTCCCAGCCAACTGGCTATCAGTAAGTTAGTCTCACAAATGTCCCAATAAGAACTACATGGGCTGTTTCCTTACTTTACAGAGAGAAAACTGAGGCAGTCACAGAAAGGTTAAGCAAGTGACTTGTTCAAGGACAACCTGTAAGGGAGCAAAGTTCTGGGGCTGAGATCTGGCCTCCTCCCTCCATCTGGCTCCAACCTTTAACCCGTGTAGCCATTTTATCATGTTTTAATCACATCTGTTCCAGGAGCTCTTTTAACAAAATCAACCAGAGATTCTCTTTTTCTCTACAAGAGTTCACTTTCACTGTACTTCAAATCCATGTGCACTCAACAAAATTACAAGACTTGGCCTGAAATTAGATTTTTAAGTCTGTTCACAGAAATCCAAAATGTTCCTATCAGAACCTCAAACGTCTCCTTTGTTGCTTTTGTCTTAAGAAATGTATGTCATGTTCTCCCATTACTAACGCAAGTTTACATTTTTAAATACTGATGTGAAAATTCCAAAGCGAGGCCTTAAAACCTGTTACACCTATCAAGCGGATGCTGTTTATAACCTAGAACTCATTCTCCTTGTCACTGGCCTTTTACTAAGTTGCAGTTAATGCACTAATAGAACACCTATCCCTTGCTGCCCTCATGTCATGTCCAAGTACCAGCCATCAGGGCTGCCTGGCTCAGCCACTCCTCCAGCTCACCTAGGGGAACACACAAAGGAAGTGCAGGGGAGGAAAGCAATCAACTTCTTGTTAATCCCACAGCCTCTATTTTCCCAGAACTGACGTTTTACTTTAAGCCTTTTGCAACAGTGGTCTCTGTAGCATGCACTATTGGCAACTACATGTGTCCCGGAAAAAACTGTAGTGTCTGGCCAAGAAGTTTAAAGGCCTTCGAGAATGTTTGCTGGACACACAACCTAATTTCCAATTTACCAAAAAAAGAAACTAACTCCCTATTATGCCCACCCATCCTCACCCTAACAAACATCCATTTTAGGAAGGTTACAAAAAATGAACTCTGCCCTATTCAGAACCAGCTGGATTACCAATTAAACATTTTTAACTAGGCTCACCACAAGAAAAACCCCACAGACACTACACCAAATCAACAGGGAAATGGCTGTTAAAAATCTTAACTATATTAGGGACAGTATAAAAAATTTTATGGAAAGAATGTAAAGATTCATTCAGACACATACAAAATGACAAACCTGATGGCTGAGTCTCCTTATTTACTATCCTACTAGAGAAATAACATTGTTACACATTCCAAAAACATGGCCCATAATAAGGCCCAGCAAACATTATTCACGAAAACCATTATCTTACAACCGTCAGCCCATGTTCATAGACCTTCACCATGTTTATCTAGACCCCATGGCATATTACCCATGCACAGAGCAGCGAAACCCAGGAACACACACGAGGTGCTTAACAGAAGCATTAGCCAGTGAACAAAGACCCCACTGCACAGACTACACCACTGGGAACAAATATCAAAGCTAGAGATAATGAACTTGTTTTGGAGACTCCAAAGTAGGATGATGTCTTTTCTTGTTTGTCTGGTTTATTAAAGAAGCCTGAACCCACCTGAGAATCATTATTTTTAGTAGAGAGGAGAGCCACAGAACACACACTTGATCTCCCATAGCTGGAAGGTTAAGGGCTGCTGAGAAGTCAAAGCCCAGGCTTTGTACATCGGGGAGCGAATACAATCCTGATCGTCTCTCCCAGATCCATCTGTGGGTCAATAATCACTTCAATATAACTGCCAAATATAACCTTCATCTGCTACCCCAATGCCAAAACACATTTCAGACGAGTCTCTTAAATTAAATATTTTAGGGTTTCATCTGCTCTTCTTAGCCCCCAAAGCCTCATAAACAACACACCCAGTCGAGTGTCCCACAGAAAGGTACCCACCCCTATACTGAGAAGGGTGGGGGTGGTGTCAGGGAGCAGAAGGCTGTGGGGGTTGGAAGGTAAGGGGTGTGTGAGGGTGGGGGAGTGCGTGGGGGGCAGGGCTGGGAAAAGGGATTGTGTGGTAAGGTAAATAAGTACTGACCAAGGGCCGGGAAGTCGGTCCAGTGGTGGGATCTTTAGATAATCTTGGGGGTTGGAGGGAGGTTCTAGGATTTCACCCGAAAGGCATCCACAAAGTGATTAACTGAATGGGCCCCCTGGGGTGGGGTGGGGGAAGCGAGGTGGAAAGCAAATACACCTAGATGCAGATTAACCGTTCTGGAACCAGGTTTCCTAGGGTTAGAGAGATTTCAAATCCAAGCTCCAAAAACGTTTAGGGGCCTGTTGGTCTCCCTTCCTCCAAACAGCTTCCACAGGGCATGTGTATGTGGGGGGTTTTGCCCCCCTGAACTCAAGGGGGCTGCACGTAGGGGAAATGTGACTCCCTTTCCCAGAACATTAGGGAGGAAGCAGAGGGAAGGGAAGAGACACCCCAAGTGCAGTTCTGAAGGAAAGGTTAGAGACCCCTTCCCCTGTCATCTGAGGTGCGCAAGGGCTCGCCACATCAGGATACCTCGGAGAAGCAAAAACCCATCGTCTAAGCCCCTCAATCTTGGCGGGAGAAAAGGCGCCCCCCAAGAGCATCTGGAGGGAGGGAATGAAGACCCCCGCCCCTAGACATGCTGAGAGGCAGAAGCACGGACCTCCAAATCTCGGGAAAGGGAGCCTGCCCTCCCCTCTATGGAACAAGGGGGTGCTGGGAGCGCGACCCTGAGAGGTCCCCAAATCCAGTTCCGCCTGGAAGAGGGCTCGGGTCCCCAGGGGCCCTGCGTGAGCTCGGTCCCGGCTGGGCAGCTGCGCCTCGGAAGTCTGGGGACGCCGACCACGGGTCACCCCGACTCCTCCGCGCCCCCCACCCGGCCATATTGTGCGCGTGGGGAGGGGGCGCGCTGTAGCCAGGGGCCGCGGCGCGAGGCCTCGCCCTCGCCCGGCCCTCTCCATCCCGGCCCCCGCCCCCCGGCCCGGGACTCACCCTCGATCCCCCGGGGCCCGGACCCGCAACTGCCGGCAAGCAGGAGGACTACAAGGGGGAAGAAGGAGGAGGCTCCGGCCGACTCCGCCATAGTAACCGCCGCCGCCGCCGCCGCAGCCCAGCAGCGCCCAGCGCGCGCGCGCGCGCCCCCGGCGCCTCCCCTCCTCCCTCGGCCCCGCTCCCGCCTCCCTCTCCTCCGCCCGGCGCCGGCACGTGCGCTCCCGGCCGAGCCGGCGCCGCGGCCGCCGCGCGCGCCCCCGAAGGGCGGGGCCGGGTGCGCGCGGGCGCCCGCCTTAAAGGGGAGTGTCCCTGTTAAAGGGGTGGGAGGGGCTCGCGCCTCGGCCACCTCACGGGTGGGTGCCGAGCGCTCCGCGGAGAGGCCCGAGTCTGACACGCGGCCTCCACCCTGGCCTGCACCCCGCCCGGCGCACAGTTATCAGCACCGACCCCCTCCTCCGCATCGAATGTTCTACTGGTCGCGTGCGTGTGTTCCTGTTTCCTCCATCCCCACTGCCTCGTCTCAAGCCCCCATCACGTCTCATGTCCCGCCGGGGTCCTCGCAACCCGCCTCCCTGTCCCGCGCGGCCGCCTGCGGTCCGCTGGACGCAGGCAACCTGTGTGATCGCATCCTGGGGTGCCCCTTTGCAGAACAGAGCCAGGTTTTCAATGCTACCGCTCAGTCTTGGTGAGGGTGCTGCGGGAGGCACTCCCATTCTGCTGCGAGATAGAACCCTTTTGGTAAACAGTTTGACATTATATATTAAATGCCTTAAAATATCCATACCCATGGACTGGTATCATTCCTTGTCTGTCTTCAAGAAATAATAGAGATGAGGACCAATATGTATGAAAAATGTTAGCAGTTGCATGTTTATCATTATAAAAAGCTGGACACTTATGCAGTAAATGATGGCCCATCCATGTGATGGAGCATTATTTCATAATTACAAATTATATTTATAAAAACCAATAAGGTAAGATGTTTGTGAGATAACGTTAAATGAGCAAGCAAAATACCAAACTATTTGCAGTATTATTCTAATTTTGTTGATAATATCTAACTGTATGGGGAAAAGACTGGAAAGGAATTGCCCAATATTAGCAGTTAGTTATTGCCAGGATATAGTTTTTTTTTTACTTTTTCTTGAAACACTCAATGTTTTCTAAATATTTTACAAATAAACAAGTGTTACTTTCAAATTTAGAAACAAAGTACTTAAAGAAGGTTAACTGAATGGCCCATATCTTTTTGAAAAGGGTTTGCTTTCTTTAGCTTGAGAAACAGTTTGAGCTCTTGAAGAGGGCAGGGTCTTTGGAACCAGAGTTCTGGATCTGAATTTTCCTTTTCTTACTAACTGGCATGAAAACTTGGGCAATTTCTTAACCTTTCTGAGCACAGTGCATCATCATCCAAGATCTAGGGGTGGAGAGGATGACTGGAGGTGGGGGGCAACATTTCCCAAAGGGAATCCTCATCTTATAAGTTGCTACCAGTGGAGAACGCCCAACCTCACATCCAGAAAAAAAAAAAAGATGTCAGCCACACCCCCCAGACACAACTCACACACAAACATACACGTGCAAAGTCACGCAGAGACGCTGTCTAGGAGTTGGCCAGTAGGTGGATGAGTAAACACCTTATTTTTATACTGCTCTCCCTCATCACCCCAAAATGGGCACACACACCCCAGTCCATCTAACTGGTCTCTCAAACTCTGCTCCATCCATACTTAGGGCGCCCAGCTGTGATGTGCACAGCGCTGGGTAACTGTGTTAGTTTCCTAGGGCTGCCTTAACAAAGTACCACAAACTGGGTGGCTTAAAATAACAGAAATTTATTCTCTCACAGTTCTGGAGGCTAGAAATCTGAAACCAGGGTGTCAGCAGGCCCATGCTCTCTCTCAAGCCTCTAGGGAAGAATCCTTCCTTGTCTCTTCTGGCTTCTGGTGATTCCCAGAATCCTTGGTGTTCCCTGGCTTGCAGAAGCATAATTTCATTCTCTGCCTCCATCTTCACATGGTCATCTTTTCTTTGCGTATCTCTGTGTCCAAATTTCTCTCTTCCTATAAAGACACCAGTAACTGAATCAGGGCCAACCCTAATCCACTATGAGTTCAAGTAATTTTAACTTGATTATATCTGCAAAGATCCTATTTCTAAATAAGATCACATGCATAGGTTCTGGGTGGACATGAATTCAGGGGAGACACTATTCAATACAGTTACATTCACCAACCCCTGTGGCTGGGAAGAGAAAGCTGACCCCTCAGGAGCACGTTGCTGAGGCCAAGGAGAAGGAACTGTCCTTCCCCTAAACCTTGCTACGTGTGGCCACTGCGGCTGCAGATCCAGAAGCAACCTGTGGTTGCTTTACTCCTAGACTGCAAGGTCAGCTACGCACCTGAATATACAGCCTGGGGAACCAGAACACTGGGTCAACAACCCAAAAGCCAGCTCCACTGTCTCACTTGATAGCATTTGACTTTGGGCAAGGTATTTTACCTCCCTAAACCTCTCGATTCACTCATCTGTAAAATGGAGCTGATAATAGTTCCATCTCAGGGCGCCTGGGTGGCTCAGTGTGTTAAGCGTCCGACTCCTGGTTTTGGCTGGGGTCATGATCAGCCTATGTCAGGCTCCAAGCTCAGCAGGGAGTCTGCTTGAAGTTCTCTCTCTTTCCATCTCCCTCTACCCCTCCCCTAGTGCTCTCTCTCTCTGAAGTAAATGAATCTTAAAAAAAAAAATAGTTCTAGGGGCACCTGGGTGGCTCAGTTGTTAAGCGTCTGCCTTCAGCTCAGGTCATGATCCCAGGGTCCTGGGATCGAGCCCCGCATCGG